CATTATTTACAACCAAAACTAATTACCATTTAAAAATCACAAATTTGTTTTTATATTTTAATAATACTTCTTTCTTTCATTAAAAAAAAAAAAAAAACCAACCATAAAGTGCTACGTTTGAAATAATTGCGGGTGTTACCAATAAATGCTTATTAAATATAAAAAAAATTCATAGAGTACGTTTGCATTAATTGTTTCTAATTGGATAAGTGCCGATATTTATTTATTTATTTAAAAAAAAATTTATCTTTTTATTTTTAATTACATTTTGCAATTAATTCTCACAGTTTAATAAGCCTAGTTATGACAAAGAAGAAAATGCATAAAATTCAGACCATTGGATTAATTACATAATCAATGGTCAAGATCAAAACCCTCACCCTATTAATTAAAGAATCCCTGGAGGGCCAAAGAGAAAATGCCATCTCCGTTTCCGACGTTTTTCTGATGGAGTTGAACCCAGAGCTCCGACAAAACCTTCTACAGCAACAGCAGCATCCGATGATGTTGTCGGAAAATTATGCAAAAGCCAGAGACGGGTTTCCGTTTGAAACTCAAGTGACGTTCTCAAAGGGTAATAGTTATCTTCAGGATTTTCAGCATCTGGATCAGTTTCATGTTCAAGGTGGGTCGGCGTCGTCGTCGAACCCTGTTTTTGGGATCCCTAATGCGTTTTATGACCCTTTTGAACCTGTGTCTTACGGGTGTTCGACGAATTGTTTCAATGAGATGTTGGAGAAAAAGCCATTTGGGGATAGTTACAATCGGGGGAATGCTCATGCTGTGGACAATTTTCAGAGGAATGATCTTAATACCTTTGATTTTCAAGAAACAGGGGCCATGAATTTCGTTGTCTCGGATGAGTTCTCCTCTGTGGGTGGTTGGAGCGACAAGAAAGCAGGATTTAGCAAGAGCAGGACGCTAGGTGCGACGTTGCCTTCTTCCTCAAGGAACTTGAAAGGTCGGAGGAAGTCCAACTTGGTGAAGGGGCAATGGACGGTCGAAGAAGACAAGTATAGAAGAGATATATAATTTTCCTGGGAAATTCTTGTTTTGAATGAGTTTTGTGTTTGATTGTTTAATTCACATGCTTATATGTGTTTGTACAGGCTGCTGATTCAGCTGGTTGATCAATATGGGTTAAGAAAATGGTCCCATATTGCTCAAATGTTGCCCGGGCGAATAGGAAAACAATGTAGAGAAAGATGGCATAACCACCTTAGGCCTGATATCAAGGTTAATTACCCTCCTTTTTTGGGTTCTTTGTTAACTATTGCATAATCTTAAATGTCTAACCTTGATCCGAAGGACAATAAATCCAACATTTTTATTCTTTTGTAGGAGCTTGTATACGGAATTTGAATATCATATCTGATAAGATAGTGATGCCACTATTTAAGTGGAATCCAAAATTAAGATTTTAAAATTAGTATATGACGAATAAATGAATTGTATTTTTTTTTTTTTGTATTGTTAATTTTTGTTTTTTCATTGTCTCTTAACAGAAGGATACATGGAGTGAAGAGGAGGATAAGGTACTAATACAAGCGCATGGAGAGATAGGAAACAAATGGGCAGAGATAGCAAAGAGGCTTCCAGGAAGAACAGAAAACTCCATTAAAAATCACTGGAATGCAACAAAGAGAAGGCAGTTTTCGAAGCGAAAGTGTCGATCCAAGTACCCAAGAGGTTCCCTGTTGCAGGAATACATCAAGAGTTTGAATTTGGACTCAGCCACCACACCAAGAAACCGTCAAGACAAAACTACTCCTTCACCTGCTACAGGGAGAACATCCAATCTTCAGACACAACAGGGTTTGGTGTTTTGTCCTGATGATCGTCTGGTACCAGAATATGACTTTAATGATGTCCCGGATTTTAGTTTCGATGAGAAACTGTTTCAAGATCAGGAATGCAGCATTGATTCTCTTCTTGATGATATACATAGTGCACCGGTGGATAAAACCTTTGAGATGGATATGACAATGATGGAGCCTGGAATGGTGAAGAAGGAACTGGATTTGGTGGAGATGATCTCTCAAACAAATCTTTAAAGCCTCATAGAGATACATAATAAAGTCATTTAATATATATACAAGGAAAGATGATGAGCTGCTGGACCCTTTAGGGTTTACAGGGTTTTTGCCAGCAAAGTTCAATGAGTATACAATATACCAGCTGATCATACAGCGTTGTTTTTTTGGTTCCTTTCTAAAATTTACTTTCTTAATTAGAGATTACTAATGAATAAAGGCAATGGTAATCGATTGGGAGCTTTATGTAAATATTTGAATAATTAAAGTGGGTGAGTTTTGCATTCTAACTAAGTTTTTAGAAGAAGTGCTGTGATGCTTTTGTTTATAAAGTTTAGGTGAGCAAAAACCATCTCAGTTTTAAAGTTGAGATTTTCCATTTCCATCAGTAGGATGTAGGTACTGATTGAGAATTAACAACAGCTGGGCATGGGTCCTTAAACCCTTTACTCTTATGTGAGTATTCAATTGAAAGGAAACAAAAAGTGAGGACCAATTTAAACGTCTTTATGAAGATCAAAGGTTAAAAGCACTGCTATTATGTGTATTACTTTTTGTAAATAGTACTTATCCGCTTTACCTTCTAAAGATTAGGAAGAATATTATTATAAAATTACGTCATTTTAAAAAATATCTACTAAAAAAATTAAAATATTTTATTTTTAAAATATAAATTAGAGTATTTTTTATTCTTTTTATTCTTAATTTGTTAAAAATAAAACTGACAAACACTTAACTCTAATCTTTTTCACCCTTCCTACAAAAAACAGTCAAGGATGCAATCGTATCGGCATGGTTATCGCCGCAAACAACAATATTACAGCTACACAAATTTTAAAATAATTTTTTTAAAAAAATTTGGTTATGTTTAAATTTAATTGTTAAAAATAATTAATTAATAATTAACAACAGAATCAATAATATTAATTAAAAAATTAAAATTAATTTACAAAGTTATATTTTCAAACACTATATGTAACTGTTTAAGGAACAAAAATTTAAATTTACATGATCTTAACAATGTTGTAAGTAGCAATAATCATACCCGATATACATGACCATGGTAGTAACTGCTAGATAGACTTTAATGGAGCAAAAAAGACAGTTTAAAAGCAATTAAAGGCCGAAAGGAGCAATTAAACAAGCAGTTTTAGTAGTTCTATTTAATAAATTTAACTAGGTCTTTAAATTAGTTTAGTTTTTGAGGGAAATAAATATGGGTTTTTTTATCCGCACAAGTCAAGGGCATATACCTTTACATTTATTCTTGAAAGTTTAAAATATAAATATTAACATTAGTTTCGAGCAATGTTACACGAGCTACAATACTTTAAATAAATAGATTATATTGATTCATCCGAAGACCCTAAAAAAAGAAAAATATATATAATAATATATCATATTATGCACTCTATTGTCCATATCTAACATTTTCGATTGACTTTATCCATCAATTTAACATTAACTGTAATTATTTAACTTATAAATTAATTTGAAGTGATGGTAGCAGTAGTAGTAGTAATATTTTCATTGTAAAATAAATATAAAGGTTATGTATTAAGCTATCCTTAATCTGAGGAGCCTACCGGCTCAAGTGGCAAAAAGGTGAACCATTCCGCCCACTCCATCCAACCAAAAAAAAAGAAGTTGGTCCTTAATCCATGCCTTTAATGGCACATCCACATGCAAGTTAAACAATATACTACTATAAAGGTAAATTTAAAAATAAGACGACCTTTTAGGAAACAGGGCTGATAAATTATGTAAAATTTAGAAATCTCACACATGCAAATGAACTCCGATTCTTGGGTAATTTTTTTTAAAAAATAAAAAAGATGAACTTTTAGGCAAAAAAGGGTGTGTTCCGTGGAGTTTCGTAATTCATCTAAATAAACCCATTGTTTCTCGTATCCTAGAAAACAGCTTTGGAAATGTGTATCATCCGTTGCTGGCTTGAAAGAATTGAGTAATAAACCAAGCCTCTCCAACATTGTCATTACTAGAGATCCACTGTTCTAAGTTATGGATTGGATTTCAGCTAAAGAGAAGTGAGTTAGATAAAGATGTTACGGTTAAGAAAATTTTATCCCAAGGATTATGGTAGGAAGCCTGTGACATTGATCCTTTCCGAACAGTAAACAAACTAGGAACATGATCGAAACAACAGCAGAGAGAAAATGGTTTCCAGCACTTCAGCAGCATATTGGCTACCTATGAATTATGGACAGGTCCACAAAAAGAATAAAATCATCCAAAGAAGTGGAACAAAATTCACAAGTAAAACCCAAAAGAACAAATTCAGTTCCTGGCCTAATCCGAGATATGGAGCTTATCTAACCATCCCCCATCATGGGCAAAGCAAAACTTTTCTAAGCTGTCTTTGGCTTAATGCGCTTCACCCTTGAATACAGGAAAACTCCAGCGAGAGCAATTCCAGTGCCTGAATGTAATCATAGCAGAATAAGATCTCTACAACTGGAGGAATAACAAAACAACATTTGACATTGTCTTTGAACAGGATATTTGAGGTGGAAAAGTTTACCAAGGGAGTTAATTGGTGACACAGGAGTTCGGAAGAAGAGAACAGAGCTGATGATGACAACCACACGCTTCACGCAATTGCCCACAGAGTGGGTGACAGGGGACACCCTTTGTAATATCATATAAGAAACCTGCAAAAATTGGCACCAAAAAATAATCAGTAATTTAGTTGCTCATCACAGGTATGAGAGAAGTTGACAGACAGAAGGAATTTCCTAATTTTAAAAAGACCACCACCAATAACAATGCCATCAGGCCTACTTTTACATCCCTTACCCTATATTTTTATTAATTTATTCCACACTTTCTTTTTCACCATGTATTATCATCATTCATGGATCAGATGATCACAAAAGAAACTACAAAGGTATAACAGATTCATGGGAGTAATTCTTAGCCTTTCCTGAGCCCCAATTCTCCTCCGCAATTTGCAGATATCTATTTAGATATACATTTAATATGCCAAAACCATCCCCATCAAATGAGAATTACTCCACTTTTAGCTATAGCCATTGGATGAAAAAATAGGCTAGCTATAGCAATGCATAATTAACTAAACTTACATATTAAACATGAAATTACCTGCTGATAGGCATGGAAGCAGAGAGCTGCAAGAAGAGACCTTGTGTACAGCTGTTTAACATTCAGGCTCTGTTTTGCAAAAAGGAAAATATAATAAATTACCAAAAATAGTAATAGTACTTGAAATTTGTTTTCCTGAGCAAAACTGAAATGATTCTTTTAAATTATTCTAGCACTTTTTAGTTCCCTAAAGTACTCACAGCAGACTGCAGGTATGCAGGAGTAAACTTGACGCCGTCCTTAAAGAGAGCCACAGGGGCTAAAAAGATGAAGGACAGGACTGTTATTATTGAGAAGAGATTAATGTTGTCCAAAGATTCCTGTGACAAAATAACTTCAAGTTATGCACTATTTTTTAAATGAAAAGTTAACTTACTTGGTTGATAATAATTAATAAGTGCAAATTGTATATCCAGCTTTTGAATTAGAAAGCAAAAAAATAATGGAAATTTGAAGCCCAGCAGAATTAGTATCAGAGTAGATAAAAGAACACATCTCAATATGCAGATTACCTCTTTTTTAACCATGACCTTTTTGCTAAGGACATTGCGAGATTGGAATGTTAAATTGGAAGCCATTGCACTCCAAAAACCAGCCCTTAAAAGATAAAGACAACAATGTTATATTGCTAACCATGTAGCAACCAATTAAGTTTTTCTTTTCTTTTTGTTTTTTCCTTTTAGAGTAAAACTTTTGTGACATAACCAGAAAGAAATTGCACTCATCAAATCTTCTGTATGCTGCAAAATTTTTTCGATGTTGAAAAATATGTATATCCTCACAAATTTGACTCACCAATTGAAAGAGGCCTCAGTGACAGATGCTAGTGCCACTCCACCAACAATTGGTAGAAGGGAAGCAATGACCCAGATTGTAGGCATCTGTGTAAGAAAGATGATAGTAATTAGAGTTAACTGCTATTGAAGCAAAGATTAGATAACAGAAACCTGTATGCCAGCTTTTTGAACCTAGGCAAGCAATTTCCTGCTCATTGCAAGTGAGGAGAGAAAAGAATTTTCAACAATATTATGAGTAACAACAATGAAAGCTCAGATTAAACCAACTCCTATTCTTCCACTCTATCAGCTATCATGGTCACAAGATGCAAATGGATCAAAATTTGATAACATGGATCAAAATGTGATAAAAAGTATGTTGAGAAATTGTACCTCTCCAAGAAACATGGCAGAAAGGAGGACCGAAAAGAAAGGCTCCATGGCTTTAATTGTGTGAGTAAATGAAACAGCCACTTTTCCAAGACTCATGTTAGTGAAAAGGTTTCCCAATGTATGAACCGCTGCAAGTGGCACAATTGCAGCAAGCTGTAAAAAGGAAAATTGGGGTAAGTAATTAGTATCCCTAAAAAAATCAAGGACAAAACAAAACTGCTTCAGCACAAAAACAAATACCTGTGCACCACTAATTTTCGGCCTTTTATAGATGTTGAAAGTCCACATTAGAATCACAAGCACAGTTCCAACAGTAAACTGAACAACAGTTACAGTTACCGGGTGTGGAAAGACCTTTAGAACCTGAGAACAAGAAGCAAAAATCAATCAAGACTTCCCTTCAAGTTGCATATAAGATACTAGCATATCAAATTCTATAAACTAACAAACAAAAATTTTTGGTCTCAATATAAGCCCAGAGGAATAAATAATTCTAAGGCAAACCTTAAGTTTGAGAAAGTACATTTAAAAGATTGAATAAAACTTCTTACAGATTCATTCCTTCAGTTAGTCCAATTACTGTGGTAAAATTGAAAAGAACTTTGCAGCTTAAATTACATTCCTTCCATTTCTGCAAGAAGCTCGATACATTTTATATGGGACCAAATCGAGCCCATAAATAAACCAAACAAAATTTTACTAGACTAAACTAATTATCTGCATCATTTCTCATTGATCTAGCGATTCAACCACAAATTATGACAATTTTCACCGAATAAAGCCACGTTAAAGCTAAAACCACCGGAAAGAACAACAATGCTTCAAATCTCAAAGCAAGAAAATAAAACATCACAACTAAGAGAAGCATAGATCACTAAACCTGTTTGTTGTAAATGTTGAAGTAGATATTAAACAAGTACCACAACGCAAACAGCGATCCAAGCTCCAAAGTCTTCAACAAGCTATTCGAATTCTCACCTTCATTGGCGCTCTCAGCAGCTGTGGCTCTCACCTCAAAACGCTCTGGTTTCGATTCAGAAGCAGGCAAAGGAATCGAAGTCCACGGCCTGAGTGGCGAAGCAGAGGAGCAACCCGACCAGGATCGCTTAGGCCACGAAGGAGACGAAACAACATTTCCAGAGATAGAAAGATCGTTTCGCTTTGAAGCGGAAACGCGTATAGGATCGAACCTAGGGTTCGGCGACGGCGTGAGTCGCCGTGGCTTGAGGATAGGGAGTGAGGGAGAGGAGAGAGTGAACGCCGCCGTTTGCATGTCGGAGATCCGAATCGGAGGCGACGGAGTCTACGAGAGAAAGCGTTTTCAGAATGAGAAGCTGAAAACGCTTTTGAAAGTCCGCCTCCAGGGAAGGTTTGTTGGCATATGAAAGAGTGAGCGCTGCAAGAACAGTACTACAACAGAGGACAATTAAAACAGGAGGAAAAAAATAGAGACGGATCAGATCTCGTGAGGCGGATATTCCAACAGCTCGGGTTTCGGGGTCTCGGCCCGGCTGGGGAGCGAATTTTTATATTCCGAAAAATGAATAGATTTCCATATTATATATTTTTTATAATTTTATTAATAGAATAATTAAATATTTATAAAAAAAATTATACTCAAGACTCTTAAAAAATTAAAATTTTAATTTATTTTAAAAATTAAGATTGATATACATTTTT